CCCCCCAAACTGTCCAAACTGTCGTCTCTTCCTGGGTAGAATGGGCCTCACACTCTCTGACTGACTGACGCGTGTCAACCTCACGGTCTGCCCCCAGGTCCCAGCAGGGAAAAGCAGACGAGCCTCACGGAGGACTCGCTTGACGCATTCAGAGGAGCTGATGCAGCTCCTGCATGTTTAAAGTCTGATTTTTAAAAGTTTTTAAGCCGATTGGCGTGTCAGCATGTGACATTCCAGCTTGGGTTTTACCTGGAAATCATCGGCTGCTAGCGTCAAATCAGACATGTGCTGTTTTAGTCACGCTTCAGATCTGTAGAAACAGTGTCCCTCAGCTGACCGGTGTCACAAAGCCAATTAGAACAGAGGTCACTGGCACCCCCCACAAGATCCCTGGCAGTGCACCCTGCGGTTCTTGGGCCGTTCCCCAGCCTCGCTGTTTCCCTGCACCGGATGAGCAGCTGTGGAAGACGGATCGTCCGTTAAGTAGCATTCCAGAGGTTTCTGGGCAGACAGGAACAGCACTGTGTGTTCAAAGACCTCGCCAGTGTTTGCTGTTGCACTTTTAAATCGGAATGGCTGCAGAGGAATCAGCATAAATAATTTTCAAATAAAGTCACTGTCTGACTAGACCCTGAAACATGAGGACTCCAGATCAGTGCGCTGCGTGATTTATTGTTCATTCCGCATCCTATTTTAATGACAATGTGGCTGTCTCATGCAAGTTTTTAATCATAGTGATGACCTTCAAAATGAAGTTCTTTAGGGAAGCAAACACGTGTAACCGCACACATTCACACATGAGCAAAGACCTGTCCTCACTGCCGTGTGTGTGTTGTTATATTATAAAATATTATATTTTATTATGTTATATTTTATATTATATAATTCATCCTTCCTCCAAGCACTTCTCCAGTACAGAGTGGAGTCTATCCCTGGAAATACAAGGCAGGGGGACACCCTGGACGGGATGCCAGTCCATCACAGGGCACGAGGCAGGGGGACACCCTGGACGGGATGCAATGCAGACTGAGGAAAGATTACCTCCTATTGATCTCCACCTCAGTATATATGCTAAAACAATGCAGTGTACTTGGCTTAATATTATTGGTCAATGTGCCAGAATGGGTTTGTCATGTGATTGCTCCCCATTTCGGGAGGCCCTGCCCCCCTGTGTCCTACTTCAACCTCATCTCTGGAGACCCAAACCCACCATGGCTTTGAAGCTGGTCCTGAAGTACATGCTGATGGCTCATTTTCAGCCTGGTCTCATGGATAAATGATCCTTTATGCCCAATTTGCATGTGTACAGAATTTCATGTATAATAAAGATAAATATATATTTTTAAGTAGCAATCTGTCAGCCAGGGCAGCTTTTATCTGGGAAGCTTGCTTATCATCTATGAAGGGCTGAACGGCTATATTTCCGCTAATATTGCGTTAATATCATTGAATTACATAACATAGTTCAATTCTATTCTATTTTTATATAGTGCTTTCACAGTTGGCCCAAAGTGCTTAACAAAACTGTTTGACAATACTGTTCGAAAAAATTTTTTAGTACACAGACATGAAATGCTTCATGATATGGGTAAAGAAAGGATGAAAGAATAATTTAAAAAATGCCAGAAGACAGGAGAGGAGAGGAGAGGATAGGAGAGGACGTTGTCCTTGTCATAAAGACAATGAATCTGTATGAGACCGAGTCGCTTATTCTAGAAGGTTCTAAGGTGCCGGATGAAAGTGCAAAGTTCTTTTGTGGAAGACTAGAGGGATTAAAATACTGCTATTGTGAGCTGAAGTAAACGGCCCTGGTATCCTGCTGAGAATCCATTTTGCGATTTCCAGAGAAAGAATCGATATCGCAGCGGCGGTGAGGGAGGGTTGTGCCTCTTTGTCGTGCGAGGAAAAAAAGGGTGATAGATAACAGCTGCTTAATTTGCGGGCCCAGAAAAAGGTCATTGTCAGAGCTGGAGCTTTAGCTCCTACAACCATGCATTTAATGTACGGGAAATTGTCTGGGCACAATCAGAACAAGACGATAGAAGAGAGAGTTAATCTCCGCCGGGTCACTGTTCATCTTTGGGGTCAGGATAAGCGTGTAGAAGGAGGTCGGTGTGCTTTGGTGGGGGTGAGAGGAAGTTGGGTGAGGGGGTGTAGAGAGAGAGGATGTGGGGAACGTGGGGGCATGTGTATATTACATTGTGGGGACCAAATGTTCCCCACAATATGATAAAAACCTGTTATTGTGACGTTGTGGGGACATTTTTTGGGTCCTCACAATGGGAATCTCAATTTTCTCAAAACCAGTGATTGCAATCAAAAAACTAAAAATGCCAAAAGTCTGGTCTTTTGTTTGGTTACTTATGGTTGGAGAGGTGTTAAGGTCGCCATGTTGGGATTAGGGTTATGCCCATAGAAATGAATGGCGAGTCCCCACAAAGACAGGAGTATATGAACTCTGTGTGTCTGTGCCTGTGTCTGTCTGCATGAGTGTGTCTGGCAGACCCCCTCCAGTCTCGGGTGCCCCCTCCCATCTGTGTTTGCTCGCTGTCAGGACAGCAGCTCCCAGCCTCTCTCTCTCTCTGTCCTCCGCGGCTGAGCTGTGTTACCCTGTGTCCTCGCCCCCAGGCCGGCCAGGAGTCCTTCCGATCCATAACCAGGTCCTACTACAGAGGGGCTGCAGGGGCACTCTTAGTCTATGACATCACCAGGTAAGGCACTGACACTGAGGGTGCGTCTGAAATCGCATACCTACATAGTACATACTGAATTTCATTAGAAACGTTAGTGTAGTACATACTGTATGTATGCACGAAAACAGCATGCATGCGGTCAGGCATGTCACTGCCTTGCATGTTGTTGGACACAAGTGAAATAGCTTGACCCATGCAAAAGTTAAAAACTATTAAAAACTATCAACGAAAAAAAATAAACATATTCGAGTCAACTTATGTGACTGGGTTTTGTTTTCTACTTAAATTCCTCCAGCATCATGACAAAAATTTCTGAGTGAGCGACATATTATATTATATTTGGTTGCAGCACCAGTGTCCTTCTGGGATGGTGTAGCGTCCATCGGTTGCACGCTTCTGAATTTCACAGAATGTAGTATGTCATATGGGTACCATTCCCCTACTGTCTCATCCATACTGAGGATTTGTACATATTGTTTACTTTGCATGCTGCATTTCACCTGCTCCATAGCAAAGAAGTACGCGATTTCAGTGTGGAGTGACAGACAGTGATATAGGAGTGTCTGTGGAGAGGAAGCGGAGTGTGTGATTTTGTGTGGAGTGGCAGGGAGTGAGGTAGGAGTCTGTGCAGATAGAGGAAGTGTAGAGGGTCTGTGTCGTGAAAGAGAGACCATGTAGTAGAGAGTGTAGAGAGAGGAGGTGTAGGAGGTGTGAGTGAGTAGACAGAACAGGAAGGAAGGATGGTAGATATATTTTGGACTTGATTCCTGGTAGTAAATCCTCCCGGGAGGCCCGCAGAGAAAGGGGGTTACCCTGAACCAGCCCTAAAAACACCCCAACCACAAGCCCTTGAAGTCCCTTTGGGTATCAGGCTGACAATAAATGATCCTCAGAACTGCATTTGAGCTCAGCTGAAACGGCCATGTGCTCGTAATGAACCGGATCTCATCAGAGCAGCTTTGCTGAAGGTCAATCGAAAGGAATCCGACCCTGACACAAAGGTTTCAGTGCTTGAGGGTAAGGAATGTGTTGCTCGCACAGAGCGAATACGCCATGGCCAAGCGTGACTCTGTGGACGCTCTTTCGGGGTTTTTCTGTCAGCCATGGAGCCCTTGAGTATAATAGGCCAGAGGATGGATGACAACAAGGTGTTTGTGGATGGTAAACAGGGGCTGATGATCCCGGCCCCATGGCGTGGCGGTCTGCACCGGTAACAGGTGTGACATTTCACATCACATCATCTGTTTGCTTATGGACGAGGTGCCGGTCAACAGGATGGTTCGCTAAGCCTGCGATTTTTAATCTGTATAGTGATGTTCTATTTTCTGATCATCTTCAGCCTCATTCTGTCTTTTCTATTAAGCAGTACAGAAGTAGTCAGACTGGAATTAATCATTTTTATTAAAGTTGTAGGGCTTCTTTTCCTGGAATGGATTCCCATTCCTGGCCCTCCGTAGCTCCAATACCCAATAAAGGGTTACAGGGGACCAGGAGCTGATCCCAGGGGACGCCAGACTGTCACAGACACCCTATGGGCAATTTGGGGGTGCCAGGACTGCAGGGGAAATCACCACACGTTTATAAGCAAGACATGCATATGACACAAACTAGAGGTGGGATTCGAACCCACAGAGCTGGGCAGGTATGAGGCAGTCACTGAGCCCCCAAGCTTACTACTCAAAACCATCAGCTCAAACTTTTGTCAAACACAAACTTTTGCTGTTGTAATGCTACAACTGCAGGATTTCAACTGCCAACCTTGAGGTCATCGGCACAGAGGCCTAACCCAGCGAGTCGAACACAAGCCGGATGCAAGGCACGAGGAACGAACAAGTTGTTCAGACAGGAGAAAACACCTTGGTGTCAAGAAAGAGGAAACAAGGCTTCCTAGCGAGCTTTAGAGCTGGAAGTCCAGAAGAGAGCAGGTGCCGTGCAGATTTCAGCCAACGCAAACCACAAAATCTGCTCCTCCTGGCCGAACCATCAGCAGAAATGCGACTTCAAGACCATAGCACTGTCTATCGCAGGTCAGCTTCTCATTGGTTACTTCACCGTTGCCCGCTCTCCTCCCATTGGTCCAGAACAGACGTCCATCCTCATTTCTCTGGCCCCTGCATCTGGATGTTTACTTGGACTAAATCGGGTTATGTACTTTTCTCTGGAGACATGTTCCCCAATCTGGGACTGATATTCCCAGTAGGATATGTTCCTTTCAGTTCCTTAACCATTCATGGTTGGCTGTAAATTTGCAAAAATAACACAGAAGGCCTTAGAAAGGGAGACATTATAGGTGTCCCAGAAGGAGATCTTGGTCACCACCATTTTAAGACCAATGTATCTAAAACAAAGATTCTCAAAGTCTAGTCCTCAATCATAAATCTGACCTCCATATCACCCACAATCAAGGGCATATACAGAGGCAGGGACCTCGGGGCTGAATGCCCCCAGAAGTGCCCCTCCCCTGACACTCACTGATTCAAAACATATCATTGGCTAATGATAAGGATAAATTTTGGCCCCCACCTTAAAAAATCTTGGACTCGCCTTTAATAGTATGTGCAAACTTCTCAAAGTAAACAAATATACAAAACAGAATTAAAACAAAAAAAAATGTACCATTCAATACATATGATTGATTGCTGTCTCTATTTCAGGACAAACCCGTGCCTCTGGGGTCATTCATTAAGAGCAATTTACATAATTAATGAGCTGATCTGAACACAACTACCTGATTACAGAGGTCTGAGTCTAGGTGGAAATGCTGAGCTGAAGCCAAAACTATTAGCACCATTTCACTTAAAAAAGAATCATGATTTCCAGCAAAAAAGTTGATTTTGACAATAGTAATTGGTATCTACCATTCTTTATTCCATAGAGCAAATGCTTTGCTTTTGATTTATGGCCTAACATATTATACATAATAAAACAAATGAGAATAGCTTGGACAAGATTAATTGGACCCCTAACCTAATATTTTGTATCACACCTTATTGAAGCAACGGCTCCTTGAGGTGCAGACACTCATACTGTACCAAGGCTCTCAGGAACAGATGGAGAAGTTATGGAAATGGACTGATCTGAAATGACTGAACATTTGAGCATGAGCCCTAGTCTGATTGGTCCCAATCTGAAATGAAATCCATCTCTGCAAATCAGGAACTTGCAAGACAATTACAAATCACACCAATGAAGACAATAAAGGAGTTGATGGTTATCAGTGCAGGCACGTGAAACATCTTTTGCAGTTTCTCTGTAGATCCACAATCCAAAGACACGCAGTGAACCTAACTGGTGATTCAGTACTGCCGGCTGTGCATGTATGGGGCTTCCACTGGACTGACATCGCATCCAGGGTGTCCCTCAGCCGTGGGATTGGCCCCAAGCTTCCCCATGACTCTCTCCAGGATAAGTGGTTAGAAAAATGGATCGATCTCCACAATTCAGCCAATTATGATATTCAAGACCCCCTGTAAATTGCCTTAACCCAGTGCTCATCTGAGTGATTAATTGATATTGAAAGGACATTACCATCACTTTGAAACCTGGTAAAATTGAATTCCACATGGCATACGATACATACATTCTCTTTTAATTAGAAATTCAACTGAAGATGTGTAACTTAATTATGCTTGTATGATTTAATCATTTTTCTAGTTATGTTAGGTCAAATGTAACAAATCTGTATGCTTACGGTTTGTCTCGTTCTTTAAATTAAATCTTTTAACCTCCGTGGGTATGACATTGCTTTTCTGTGCTAATACTTTACAATATCTTTTAATTTGTTAGGCCTAAAAAATTATACGTGCTGATTAATTTGTTTAAGGATGCAGCAGAGACCTTGAAGAGATCCTGCTAGATAGATTTACATTTCAGCCTCTAGCGAACAAAAGAAAATATTCACCAAATGCCTCTCTTTATCTAAATTAAGGTATTAACATTCTCAAATGTCTAATTATCATAAAACATATGGCATTTCCTGGGAAGACCAGATCCTTATGGGTCTTTGTTATGTTTGTATACTTTATAGAATATATTGAAATCCATTGATGTAACAATTGATTTTATCATTATTTTTTAATGTCAGTTGTCAACCCATACAGAGTGTGTAGCCTGCACACTCAGATCTATGTTGGGAATCGAACCCACAACCCTGGAAGTATGAAACCACCAGGCAATCCAATCTTTTCATACATTTTTTTTTAGCAGACACGTTTTTCCAACACAACGTACATTTTTTGAGAAAGCAGGGTCTGTCGGCAGCCGGGACTTAAGGGCCTCGCTCAAGGGCCCAATGGTAAAATGACTCTGCTGACTGTGGGATGTGAACCAACTCCCTTCTGCTAACAGGCGTCTGAGCCACACACCACCCTGAAAAATCAATCTCATACCCAGCTCCTGCAGCACACAAGAAAGATTGCGGACCAATAGAGCTCTTTCATGTATTACATTTATATCTAAAATTCATATTTCTATCCATCTTCTAACCCCATAGCCAGTATAGTGGGGGCTGCAGCCTATTCCAGGCAGCTTAGGACACAAGAGATGATGTTTGACCATTGCATGCATACAGTATAGGTAGGGTTCAAAACCCGAGTCCTGAAGGCTTGAGGTTACATCACTATCCTCTGAGCCGTCAGCCCATATGTTTCAAAATGATAAAGAGATCTATTAAATATTTCATTTTTATGTAAAATGCTTCTTGAAAATGGGTTGCACTCCTTGTCAATGGAGCGGATTGTGTGTGAAACTTAACCGCAGTGTTCGAGCGGAATGCTAAACGACAATGCTGAAGATGCGGTCACTTGCATCTTGCGTTGCCGCAGTTTCCACACCCAGTTAAGCTCTGAACAATCAGTCTGATGAGGTTCAGAGCAGGAGAATTAGACAGAAATTAGAAGCATGTGAGATCCAAGCCCTACTATCATATAGGAATAATTCCTGAAGCGTGGCATTTTTAATCACTGTTTGCAAATCAGTTAGAACAGGACAGCTAAAGTTGTCCATAATGTGTAGTGTTTATGTCTAGTCGTAAAAATGGATTATTCCAGAATGGCAAGACATGACAGAAATTCATTATGCGTTTGTCTTGATGCAGTAGCTCAAAATGATGGTCCAGCCCCCTGTGTTTGCTGATCTAGTAACTGTTTATCATCAGACTCCCATATTGTCCTAATAGAAAACACTGTACATATGTGTCTTAGTGCCAAGATTTTGACGTAAACTCACCAGAAGCTTTTCCCCCTAGAACGACAGGCATTTTGTTTCGGAGAGCAAGGTCAGACAGTCCCAGGGGCAACTAAGCTTAAGGGCCCTGCGCAGTGGCCCATTGGTGAACCCACTCCAACTATGGGATTTGAACTGACAACCTTCCAATCACAAGCACCACACCCTAATTCTCTGAGACACACAGCACCCCTATATAGCGCTTGCGCAGACACATGATGCTGAAAGGATCAAAGGCCCAAGGTTTGGGCCATAGGCAGTACAGTCAAGGTGCTCCTTATTTAGGAGATGCTGAAGCAACATGTTTTGCTAACCAGCTAGCTAGCTATGATCTCCTGACTCTGCTCACTAACTGTTTATTTATTTTGTGGCAGTGCAAATGACATTTTGAGTGGGGCTCCAGGAAACAGAGACACACCCCTGCCTTTCCTGAGCGTGCCTTCCCAAAGGAGGTCTGTGAAGTGGGAGGCTGACCTCTCGCTGTATTTTAAGAAAGGTGTAGAGATGAGGTTGACAGACCCAGCTTTGCATCTTTGTTTGGGAGAGTAACGCGTGACCAGCTTATCACGCAGCGAGAGCCCTGCTCTTCGGTCCCTGTCGATCAGCATTGTCTGATTGGCTTCTGTAAGCCTCTGCAGGAGTGACTGGACAATTTAAATCATCTCTGTGTAGATAGTGGAATCAGCAGCCAGGCTATTCTTGGTGTTGGTCCTTGCACATGTTTGTGAGCCTGTCGTTTTCACTCCAAGATTTCACTCCCAGAATCCCATCTGCTCAGCTTGTGCCGGGTGATCCACATCTCATGACTGATGCCGCTTATCTATGATTATGTGATATTCAATTATCAATAATTAATGATTAAGTACTTAAGCCGGCCTTTGGTCCATAAGTATGCAATCGTATATGTGGTTTATTTCAACACTTTGCTTCCCGTGACATTTTTATTTCTCTGTTCCAAGCATCTTAGAGAAGAACAAGCCTCTTTTTTCAAAGGGTGGTGTGTGATTCGGTGGGCTAAGATGCTATGTTTGTGATCAGAAGGTTGTTGGTTCTGATCCTGGGGTCAGCTGAATGATTTCACTGTTGGGTCCTTAAAACCCAATTGCTCCAGGAACTGACTGAACCTGCTCTCTCAATAGCACATTGCTTTGCATAAAAGCATCTGCTAAATAAGTATAAAAATAATGTCATCAATTGACTCTATTCCTTTTCCAGGAGACCCAGATTAGCTGACAGAATGCAGCTTGTTCCAGTGTGCAGCCGGGACTGGTGTCGTGGTGTTGGGAGGCTCAGTGTGGGAGTCACTCCTCCGAGGAGTACTTCACTTTATATGTGACTCCTTCGTCCCTTCTTTAAAGGTCACGGCACAAACTGAAATCGTGCTGGTTTTATCCACATCCCACTCGATGGCGATGAAATCCACATTTTGGAGAAGATCCCAGACGGAGGACCAGCACTAATACTGTATTACAATTGGGTCTCCTACTCATCTCCAAGGGAACATCTGCTCACTCTGTAGCTGGTCATATCCCCGCTAAGATTCCAGGTATATTTCAAGGTTACTTGCCATTCAGTTTCTGAAGTGACTGTGGATTAAGGCTCTAACTGTGACTCCAAATCTATATCAGATACAAATTAAAGTGTGTTTTAAAAAAATCAGCAAATCCAAATGTTAAGCTTGATTCCCCCAGCATTATAATTAACAGAAGGTGATGGGTTCAAGTAAATGGAAGAGCTGTGACTGTGAAAAGTAAAATTAAAACTAGATTAACTATATTCTCAGTGTGTTATTTTTGCTATTTAATTGCTGTATTTTTACTGTAACAGCAGACTCCATGTTGAATCCATCTTTGCACACGGATTCCAAAATAGCAGATTCCAAGCACTGTAGCTTGAAGACTCTGTGACAGGAAGAGAAACTGCAGATCAGCAAGTCATGTGTGCATCTCTTAGCAGAAATGTGGCTTCACGTCACCTGCCAATCATCTAGGGGCGGGCGCTCATCCAATCGTCTAACCTCATTGGTCGTGCTTAAGTCAGCGTTTGACAGTGTGTGGTAGCCCTGCCCTGTTACAGGTTTGGAGGCCTTATTCTTCCTACAATTACCTTTATAAGCAGCCAGCCTGCAGGCTTCTGGCTGAAGCTGGGGGTGGTTACCACCCTCGGGAGGGAAGCCCAGTTTGGGGCCTCCTGTATGGTAAGTGAAAGGAGTGAGTGCAGTTGGCTATTGAGCCTAAAGCAATCAGAGGATCTGCGCATGTTTGAAAAATGAGCAGAATAATACAGCAGATACTGAAAAATGAGCTGAGGATGCACCATTAACATGTAAATATATTGATATGTGTATACTGATGTAAGACAAACACTGATACAAGATCATTCACTATTTGCACACAGGAATTCTCTGGGGAGATCATTCTTGGGTTCAGAGAGCGCGGGGTCAGACAGTCCCCGGAGTAGTTGGGATTAAGGCCCTTTGGTCCAACGTTGACGAAATCAGTCAGCCAGCCAGACGGCGTACGGATCCCGAACATGTGAGTTACAGGTGTGCTGGCATTTACATTCTCCATGCCTGGTATCGAGATCGGTCAGCACACTAAATAAATAAATAGATAGATAGACAGGTCCACAGCAGCACGACCTATGATTAGACAATAAGAGGACATTTAAACATCAATAGACAGTAACAATAAACAATAGGCAACAATAAACAGAGATTGTCAGCGAAAGTATTGCATGGAGTTCCATTGTAAGAGCTCAGTAATAAAAAGTATTGTACACTGGGTGGTACAGTAATAAATTGTATTGCACACTGGGTATTGCACAGTAAATGAATGTTATTTCCAGAATTTCCCCCTGGGATCAATAAAGTGAGCTTATTCTGTATGATCCTGATGTATCCATAGCCTTATTGGCTGAACTGGAGTTGTTTTCACTTTAGTATAAGGGGAGCTTCTTTTGTAGTCTCACACCTGGAAGGCTATGGGTTTGGATCCCTCCCCAGACTTCTTTAACTTCCTCCTGCAGTCCAAAGACATAAGGTTAGGTGAACTGGTTTCTCTAAAATTGCCCATAGTTTGTGAGTCTGTGCCTTGCAATGGATTGGTGTTCTCTCTAGGCCTGGGATAGGTTCCAGGCTCAACATCACGGGGGTGAAACAGGCTGCCCCCTCCCTCTCTTCCAGGTTGGCATAATCGACCAAGGGGTCCCAAGCTGAGATTTTGTTAGGGGGCCCAGAATTCCTTGCTACACTCCTGCTTGATATGTAGGAAAGCAAGATAAATGAAATTAGAAAATATTTTTTGTCTTTCAAGTGAAATCAGTGAATCACTCGCTTGCTGACTGGGAGCGACGGCAAGTGCACAGTTTCTGAAAGTATGAAACCTCTGATATGTGATCCTTCAAGCAATATTTAGCATTCATCAGAAATGTAAATGAAGTTGCGAGTTCCTCTGCCCGCAATGCCGAGGCTGAAACTGCAAGGCTGTGATAAGCAGCCATCCCCTACTGGCCGGGCTGCCAGAGAGCCTGTTCCCCGCTGTGATTAAGAGGCCGCTTTAGCTATCACTCACACACTTTGCATTATGGCAGTATAGATTACAGCAGTATCATTAAACTGTAACCAGAATGCAGATCAATAAAAGCAGTCAGACAAAAAGGTTTAGCTTAGTTTTATAGTCGCTTTGTATGCATAGCTGCTCCAAAGCTGTTAAAATGCATTTAGGTTTTGTTGATGCTTTTATCCAAAGTGAAGTACAGTTGTGAAAACCGGGTCAGCCAGCCCCTGGGGTAATTAGGGTTAAGGGTCTTGACCCGGGGCCCAGCAGTGACATCACTTGGCTAACCACAGGATTCGAACCGGCAACCTCCTGATCACAGCCTGCAGGGCCACATGGCGGAATTTAACAGGAATTTAAACATAGATTGATTCAAAAATCTGAGAGATTGACATAATTACCCAGATATGCATTTCTATGCAAATCTGAGAGATTGACATAATTACCCAGATATGCATTTCTCCTTCTCACCTTTCCCTTTTTATTGGGTCAGTCAATCCCAAGATCCAAACGCAAAGCTGTCTGTGTTCCCTACGTCTCCAAGTGACAGTAGATAGCGTGGCCTGATGGGGGCGCCCTCGAGCAGCGGCCTGCTGGGGGCCCCCTAAGTGTCTGCCTAGAAAGTGCCTTTTCAGATTCGCTGCTCAAAGGGCTCCTTTGGCTGGAGGCTGAAGGACTTTCTGCGCGTTTACATGTGCTGCTTGTCTCCATGGCGATCCTTTTACTTTCATCGATTCCTCTTTGGAATGCTGGGTCGTGGACCAAACATTTCCACTTGGCTCTTACAAACGGACGTTAGAAAAAGCCTTTGGGCCCTGTAAGAGCAATTTCACGCAAGATGCAAAGAAGAATGAGCCTTTTCCTTTCTTTCTTTGTGTCACAAGTTTATAAAAAAAGGCCATATAAAATTGCTCGATTCTGTATGTTTCTTTAAAGCCACAGAACCGTTGTTCAGTGATTATTTCTGTGTTTTTGCGTGAAATATACTGGCTGGTTATATGACATATTAAGCCATAGAACAGTTCCTGTTTATGATATTAAACTATTATCGGGCCCCAGATTATGGTGTTTTAACACTTCAGAGGAGGACCAGTGAAAGGAAAAGACTGAGGCTTCTATCATAATGCTGCTCTGTTTTTAAGTACAGCCTCCCAGACTGGATCTCTGATATCAAATCATACCGGTTTATATAGAGATGGGTCTAGAGGGCTGCTGTGTATCTATGTGGGTTAGGGTTCTGTGCCCATGGGCGGAAGGGTGCTGCTTTGAATCCCATAGTCATCAGAGTGATTTCACAGCTGGGTCTCTGAGTGAGGCCATTAGCTCTGAAAGTGCTCCAGGGACTGGCTGATACGGCTCGCTCAGCTATTTGTCACTTTGGATAAAAGTATCTGCAAAAGACGTAAGTGCATTGAAAGTTTCTACTGTGCAGCTGAACCTTGCGATACAGGATTACTGGCTGTAGCAAATATGAACAGATTCTCACTGGCGTAGTAAAAATTGTTTCAAAGGAGAAACTGATTTTAGAAAGTGTGCATAGTTTTCAGGAATAAAGTGGAGGGAATCAGCTCCAAACAACTTCCCAAAATGTGCAGTCAAACTGAAAGTCTTGCACTTTTGTATCACTCTTTGCAGTTTGTACGTTTTGAATATTTTTGCAGACTTGTGGGTTTTTGCTGTTGTTGTGGATTCTAAGACCAACCAGACAACACAGTGTATCCATCATAGTGGGGAGGAATTCTGTCTCAAAACTATTTCGAAAATGTTTGGAAAGTGCAAAGTGGATATTATATATGACAACGACTCATGTTTCTCTCAGGTTTAAGACAAATGAAGTGAAACTGCGTTAGTAAGGCTGCATGACCGCAATGAACAAAAGCACGAGGCAAATTCAATGACCACAGTGTACTTTATTAAATGAATTTGGTACCTTGTGTTGCAATAAAATAAAAAAAGAAACGTACAAAAATCCAATATTTACAAAAATTTAAGGTTCATTTAATTTTACAACGAAATGAAAGACATTTCAAGCACGACTTCATACTTTCGGCACAAAATTTACTTAACAGAGCCAAATAAAAAAAGTTTTTCTTTAACATCTGAATACATTACTTTCACCACAGAGTAGATTCTTCTCCATATTGCGTATTGCCACCATCTTGGGGCAAAAGCCTTGCTGGAGATACTGCCCAGGAATGCTATGATTTTCCACATTAAATTTGCATACATTTATGTACAGTTAAAATATCCTCTATCACTGGCTATTCGGTCCGCCACCGCAAATAAAATTCTGAATATATTTGTACAGTATGTTTACATCACAAGCAAAACCAAAACACTACTGATCCCACTGTGCTTGTGCTACTTGGAAAAAAAAACTATACACAATCCATATTATACAACTATACAAAATAAACCAGTCAGTTATCTATATAAATGACATTTCTGCACATAAAACTGCTCTTAAATTCTTACACCCTGAGCATCTTTGACCATATGCTTGCTTACTTGCCAAAACTGTATTTGGTTAAAGGACTCAATGATCAGCAGCAAGTTGGTACCAAATTCAGGGCTTGGAGACGAGCACTGCTCTACTGCTGTATGTCAGGGACCATCTGATAGGAGAACTTCCTTATAAAGTCACATGATTCCTGTCAGCTCACCACTGTATGCCCTGTGCTTAAACCTCAGTATTTCTGGATATTTCAGTGAAATCACTTAAATATGCAACAGATGTGCTTTTTTAATCCAAGACTCCAACATTGCTCTAAACGTCACGATATTCAGTACCCTTGTCTTTGTTGGCTTGTTTGGCTAGATGCAGAGCGCCATGAAACGTTGTGCTATGATTGGCTCTCATCCTTTCCTTAGCCCCGCCCACCTTCCAGTACTCTGCCCTGAACCCCAAATGATGTAAACAAAAGCTGACCACCTGACAGAATATATCCATGCACATTCAACTCCTTTAAGGCAAATTAAAGAAATAAAAGCTGCTCGCAGCGAGACAACAGATGGCACCGTGAATCAGATTCTTGTTTTCTTTTTTTTTTTTGTTTTCTTATTCGGAAATGCTTAATGAGGCAAACTATAACCACTTCACCGTGGATGTGTAGCTGTGCTGCCACTGAGTCTATATTCTTCACATTAAGAGAGTGTCTCATATTGCATTCACATTTAATATTATTCTTCTGTCTAGTGACAACATTTCCCAGGA